CACAGCCGAACAACTACTGCAGCTCTTTTCCCATGGATCAGGTGGCAGTTTTATTGAGAGATCTGAACCTTGTGCTACCATTGTATTCTCAGAAGCACTTCTGTAGAGCAACTTTCTGTGCAAACGACGCTTAAAAATCCACAAAAACTTCATCAATGTGCTTCTTCAAACAGCACTTGCTAATGCAAATGAGGACACCGCAGGTTAAATAGACAGAAATCGACGTTAAGCCTTTGAGGGTTCTTTGGTACACTATTTAATGTGTACATTGGATTGCCAGATATCGACACAGGCCCGTTCCCCAACCACTCCTTTGCCACTAGCTCTTCAATACCGAGTGTTGCTCACTGTGAAGTCTCCCTCACAGCTGTACAAGGCACTCCTCATTAAGGGGGATGGCACATCAACGTGTGTGAACTTCCAAGTGTGAACTTTGAGATGCCCTTGCCATCTATCCCCTGGGAAAGAGGCGTCACCATGGCTACCTGAGGATGGTAACTGGTTGTTTCACTACTGTGGCTTTTCGCTACTGTACTCTCGCTACTGCACACTGTACTTTCACTACCATGTCCAAGTCCATTCGCAACTATAATCAAAGATCAGATCAAAGATTGCCGAGTATTTCTTTGAAGTAAATCGATCATTTCGGACATGATATAGCCATTACAGGTATCGTTATGGGAGAGCTTCTGAGTAAACTCTTTTACCAGGATACGGTACGAGCACAAGTTAAGCCAAAGTTGGATAAGCAAACCAACTCGGGTTTGTTGCCGATTTGATCTTTGTTCGATTCTCCGTATTGAGCCAGAACCCGAAAAAAATATTCTCAGCTGTAATGCGAATGGATTTTATTAAGTTTTACTACTGATTCAATGTGCTTAATTTGCATTTATCTACAGTTGCGAATGGACTTGGTAGTGAAAGTACAGTGCGCAGTAGCAAAAGTGCAGTCGTGAAAAGCTAAAGTAGCAAAACCACCATAAACCCTGAGGATGTACTGTCGTTTGTGACATCGCTTCCTTCCTCTAGCTACCAGTGAGGCAGAGTGAGATCTGAGAGTCAGCACTAATGCAGACACACAGTCAGAGGGCATTATAATCCACTCACACTCGGCACAAATTGGATTGGAACAGACTTTAACGTGGTGGTCACTCAATAACAATGTGCAAACGAGGGAGGGAAGTGGATACGGCGAACGAGTACAGCATGAGTTGAAATTTAGCCATAGTCTCACCATTGAAAAGTCAAACAGGAAATTTCTTGCAGGCATCCCAAACAGAAACCTCAGCTAACAGCAGCAAGGTAGATCATTTCAGCAAATCAATTAAAAATCTAAATTTTTCCTGCAATTTGTCCTCCTATGCATACATAATCACACAAATGCTATCAGCACATCTGAATTCCATTTTTTTTTTTTACATACCAGCAGTGCATGACATGCATATTCGTCAGCTGCCCCACCAATCAATGTTCACCAATTTGAAATTCATGCAGTTCAGGATTGTCTGGTTTTTCCCAAGTGGAATGTTTGCATGAAAAATGCATCAGTTTAATCACAGAAGGCTTCTGTCCACTGTTCAAAAACTTTTGCCCATCTTACACATCATTTCCCTCCAGTAGCTTGTTGCTGTCAGACCCAAAAAACAAAACCCGAGCTGATGTTATCCTTCTTTCAAGCAATCAAACAATATCAATGTCAACGTCAATCGATTTCTATTTTTGTACAGACGCAGTATATGGAAAGATTATGATTAATCTGTCTGTGCGCACTGTATCATGTTCATACTTGTATACTCTGTGGCTCAAAGGCTATTTTTTGTCCCTACTCCATATTAGTAAAAATAAATGGCTTCCCCGAGGGTCACTATTAGATTCCACTCATATGATTTTGCAAATCCAGGACCCATGGGCATCCCATTAGGATGTTGCTGTAAAGTTCGGATCCCTAAGAGTCATATGTAATGGGCAAAATCGTGACCGTAATATCATGCGCTAAACGATTTCATGAACAGACGTGTACCCCGTCCCATGTGGCGCCCGACTTCAAATATAAATCCCTCGGTGCCTGAATGGACGACGAGGGGAAACAGCAATCCAGAAAAGGCACAATATCTGCAAGGGAAAGACAAAGGATACCAACCTCAATGTCCCTTTGGAAGTCAAAGAGGTCGATCCTCTGCCAATTACTGCCATCAAGGGCCAAGACATTCCAGGACTGAGAGAAAGAGAGGAGAGAAAGACGATAAAGTTTCCTACTACCACTCAACTCATACATGCAGCAGCAGAGGAGGTAAATCCATACACAGAAAGTAGGGCTGGGCAATATATCGACATTACATCGATATCGTGATACAAGATAAGATATCGTAAGGGTTTTTGGATATCGTCATATTGTGATATGACATAAGTGTTGTCTTTTCTGGTTTTAAAGGCTGCATTACAGTAAATGAACGCAGTTCTCTGCACTTATTAGCCTGTTGTTGCTGTGGCCTGAAACTGCTTGGTAATCATATCCACATTACTAATATATCTTTATGAAAGATATATAGATCTTTTGTGTAGATATTTTATGAAAGCACGGACAGTTATCCCTACAACATCAATATTGAGGTATTAGGTCAAAACTATTGAAATATTTGATTCTGTCCATTTTGCCCAGCCCCACCAGAAAGAAAAATTACTCCCCATTACTAAATTCCGACCTCAAGGGTTTCCAAACTGCCACAAGTCTTCAGCCAGGAGGTGAAAACAACTATTGAAATCGGCTGTGCGAATTTATGTATGAAACAAAGACAGAGCAGAAGTTTTACATTCTGATGCCCAGACTCTCCCTCATCATCTGCATCACACAGAAAAACTAGTTGAATTTGAAGACGGCCACATAAAATGCATCAGTTATTCCTCACTGTTGGACAATTAATTTTTACATGACACAGGAAAGCTCAAATATGCTGTGATTACCGGAGTTCTACAAAGGAAGATGGCAAACAAGACAAATACACAGACTATCACTCCAATCCAGTGGTCCCCAGCATCAGTCCTGTAGCCCACTGTGTTCGCTGATTTTTGTTTCGACCCCATTTGCAATCGTAGGACTTTAATGAGCTGTTAATTTGCCATAATTAGGTGCATTTCATGTTTAGAGCTGATATTTACCCTCTTAAGCCACATGCTGACAGAAATATTCAGGCATGACATGAAGAAAAAAAAAAAAAAAAAATCCACACTGATATTAGCCATGTATTTTGAAAAACAAAAAAATAAAAAAAAATACAAAATCCACTCAACACCCTAATTTAGAGCCTGTTGATTTCTCTAAGAGTTCATTTTGATATGTTTTAAAATATTGCCTGAAATTACTTACAATACAGACGAAAAGTACAATATGTTCCAGGGTCTTTTATACTTTACTGCATGCAGAGTATTTCCACCAAATTGTGCCTTAGTCGCATAAATAACTGCTCAGAGCAAGAAATGCACTCAATTAAGACAAATTAACGGCTTATTAAAATCGTACTATTGCAACTGCAGTTGGAAGAAAAATCAGAATACACAGTGGGCCCCCCAGGACCAACGTCGGGGGCCACTTTCCCAACCGACTCACCCTAGAGACCTGGGCACAGCGGCATAATGTCACCACGTCCAAAAATGAGAAGATTCTGAAAGATAGAAAGATAGATGGTACATTACTGCATCATCAACTTTGACATGATTTACAAAATATAGTCAAATCCAAAGCATAATAATAATAATAATAATAATAATAATAATAATAATAATAATAAAGTGCATTGTAAAAAACAAAGCAACACTTGTGAAAACACAACACGAGACTGAGGACACTCAAAACTTCAACGATACCTTCAGATGGTGCCAAATATTTTGTTCATTTCGTCAAAATCTGTTGACCTTTTTGACAACCTTAATCTTTGACCGTGACCTTCCAAAATTGAACCTCCTCTTCCTTAGACATATAGCTTTTGGTGGTATAAATTTCAAGTTGAAACCTCAAGAATTGTGTACGCTAGAGTGAGCACACAGACAGACAGGATGATCAATATACTTGCCAAAACAGCAGTTTTTGCAAGTAATGAAAGATGACAGACCGATAAACACATGGATCCAACCAGAAGGATGTAGGGTGGGAATAACTGGCAGAATTTTAAGACTCGACCAGCCCTTCTGCATGTGAAGCCAAATAAAGAGAATTAGATGGATCCAGGTCTCCCAATTCAATGAAACAGTCATGGATGGCAGCCAGCAAGAAGATCTCTTCTTGAATTCACCAAGAGTTCCCTGCACATCATCTCTTCTAGGAGTCATTAGACACATATAGTGGATTACATTTTCATCCTTAATCTAATAGCGGCCTTTTTATCCAATGACAGAGTATTAGCAATTCAAAACACGATTTGGGCTCTTTTCCATAGACTTTCCGAGTAAATAAAGTCCTACATACATTTCTACAAACCATACTTTCTATCTAGACCTAGCACTGGCTACAACTCGTGAGCCAGTTAGCAGCTACCATGTAACCAAATGGCCTCCAGTACCCATGTCCTCACTTTTGTCTTTCCAAGCACGCTTCTGGAATTCTAAGTAAACAAACCACATTTAAAAGTGCAAAATTGTTTTTTTTACGTGGTGGGTGTTCATCATCTCCTTTAGAACAAGTTTCAAAGATACCGAAGGACGCCTAAATATTACTTGCCAGAGCCATACATGGAGCTCTACCTAGATCTGCATTCGAGTTAATGGCCTAAGTAAGAGTAAGATACACTTTTTCATCCTCTACATTTAACCCATTGTATAGTTAGGAGCAGTGGGCAGCTACAGAGCAGCGCCCGGGTACCAACTCCAGTTCTAAAGCCAGTTCCTTGGTCAGGGGTACTGGTAGTAATGCATGTTTGTAATGCATGTTTTTCTGGGCGGGGGAAATCGGAGTACCCGGAGGCAAACCCACGCGAACACGGGGAGAACATGCAAACCCTACACAGAAAGGCCCCGGGCAGGGATCAAACCCACAACCTTCTTGCTGTGAGGCGACAGTGCTAACCACTGCGCCACCGTGCCGCCTCAGCCGGTTCTACTTCAGGCTCTGGCTAGTAACATCAACAAAAGCTTCCGTCCAGTGTTTTTGAAATAAAGAAAACCGCTGGGCTGTCAGATACAGTGGAGACCACAGTAAAGATGAATGGAACGGGAAAGCATTTTCCAATAATATGGTCCTATGATTTTACCTGTCTGGATAAGATCCCTCTAGATGAGATCAGCAGCTAAATTAATGCAATGTCTCATTATGCAATATGATTGATGTCGCAAAGAGGAGGAGCACACTGGCCTGAGCCAATAACAGGTGTTCGATCCCCTAACCATGGAGGTGCCAGCGGTATCGCCAGGAGCAACTCACCTCAGCAGCAGCTCTTTGGGTAGTTTCTTGTTAATGACAGCCTCATCATTGTTGGAGAACATCTGCTTTCCCAGAAACATAAAGCTTCAATTTAGCCATGAATACAGAACATCAACCAGCTTTTCTGCTGTAAACGGTCTCTCAAACGAAGACAATACCAGTGCCATGAAGCCTTTGCTCACATTCATGAATCACTTCAGTCTAGAAGTACCGTTTTGGGATCAGTTATGCCTTTCAAGTCATAATGGATACAGTCAGGCTCTGGACCAGAAAAATCTCAATCTAAATTTCCACAACTACACTAATGGTTTCAAGAATATGGTCCTCTGAGTTAGGTCTTAAAAGTAAAAAATTCCCTCTCATCCTTATAGTGGAAAGTGGCTGTAATATTTCATAAAATAGACAGTACAGTAATTCAAAATTGTACATATGAGTACAATCACACATAGGTACATATCTCAAAGGACTAGCCATCGACTGGTTACATGCCCAGACATGTTGCATGTTGCGAGAGGAAGGTTTGACTTGGTATGTGATCAAATTGTTCCTTAGGGATGACTGAATGTATTAAAAATCTACAGAAAACACGTATGCAATCTGTGGCTGATTAAGAATTGTTTCAACCTTGCTTTGTCAGTCAGTGGTATCAGTCATACACTTATACATTAAACAGCACAGTGCAAGTAAACTGAATGGAGGCAGTAGAGGGACTGAAGTTGAACAAGACAAATGTCGAGGTTACTGTGGCTGATTTCACTCGGCAAAAAAACTTTGCAAATGAATATAAAATCAAAAACTCTGTTAGGCTGCACTACAATAGCAGAGCAGCTAATGCACCATCCATATCTCTGGATGCCAAAAGCAACAGTAACTCAGTTTACAACTGTTGCCTTGCTACCACTGGCAAAACATAAAAAGCAACATTTCTAAGCAAGCTTTAATAAGGCACAAGGTGTGCTCACAGTTACAGCTATCAGTTAATGAACAATGCAATGCAAAAACATGTCTCTCCCCCCAGTGTGAATGTGGTCAATTTGTGCACAGAAGGCAACAAAACAAAGACCCCACAATCAAGGCAGTCTAGCAATACAACACCCAGATAACTGTAATGTATTTAATTAACATGTGTTCCATTTGAGGTTTCACGTTAACAATGTGGTTATTTGATAGGTCAAGCTTAGCTTCCAGGGAAATCAATTTAACCAACAATGCAGGAACCAGAGTGCTTCAAACGGCCGTCTGAACACAAGGCAACCGTAAGCCGCAGTACTTTAACCCAGGTCACAATAGACTATAATAGTCATCAGACGTTCGTTTCATGCAGTATATCCTACATAACAGATTCAACAGTATATCAAATAAAATCGTAATAACCGATGATAACACAGTTTAATAACACTACAAGAAAGTAGAGTATTTGTTTCTGAAACTAATCACGTATCTCTGGGCCGCAGCTGTCGGGACAGACGGTACGGCCTGGATCTTCCGAGTCGTCAGCTGTTGCACCGTTAAAAATAAATAAAACCACACAAATCCCACGCTGCCTGACTGGGGATTAAAGAACAGAAGTCATTGTAGAACTGTACAGAGTACTGAATGACCTGATCAAACTCACGTAGACGAGCATATTTTTGGGATATTGTTATTAATCTAACGCTAGCTAACATCATCCCCTCTCAAAGCTCAGGGCAGCGGAGAAGCAATAAAGAGAACAATACTAAGTTTGACAGCCACAATATCCCAATGGATATGAATTTATTAAGACTCGTTTGGTTCGTGCACAAGTTTAAGGACTATCGACCGTTACTTTCGATCAAGTTCGCCCTTTCCTCGACTGCTTATGCGGTTTACAGTTCGTTTGCCTGACAATCGAGCAGGATCGTGTTGCTGCCCGCAGCCCCGGAGCAGTAGCAGCCATTAGCACTCAAAACGGCCCAGTGCTAAGGAACAACTCCATCGTGGACTCCAGTGAATTAGTTTCGATCTGACGGAGTGGTGGAAGGCCCAGGTGTCTCACCCTGCTGTATTTCGTGCACATTAGCAAATGACACTTCGTCAGCTGCGCTAATAAGACTATCTTTGCATCGGTCCAGTAATCAACCCAACGGTAGCCATCAAACAAAACAATGAACACTATTTAATCGACAAAATGTGGAAATTAGTCATATCCATCACAAATAGCCATGTAGAACAGCTGTCTTTAAACTCAAATATAACAGCGGCTAGACCAAGAATGGACTGAGAAGCAAATTCATGATGTAGAACATTAAACAAAAGACTGATTGTGGAAGCACGTAGAAACATGGAAATGAGCATAAAGTTTTGTTTGCCAATTAACACAAGTGGTCGACGCATACCATGTCAGGTCCATGTCATCGTCAATAAGTATTTGTCCCATCTGTCTTTCGTGATAGCATTGTCAGCTCTTTAAATGGGCCAGAAACTCACCTCAAACCGGCTCCGAGAGATCCCGTTCACCTCCTTCCCCATCCCCGCACGGTAAATTAACCAACGTGCTCCGAAAAATCAAATCCAGAGTTAAACACGAACTTCACAAATACCAGTGATCAACTGTCCATTTGGTTTAACATTTACCATGCTATTGCTGTTGACGCCTCCTCGGCATCGGGCTTGCTAGAGAAAATAAACAGAAACTGTCCCTGCTTCGCTATACCCAAACCATATCTCATTTGCTCAGCAGCTCTGCCCTCCCATAAGCGATCGCATGTTAGACCGTTCTGATAATCGGTACGACTAAGTGAATTTAATGACTATGCTACGTGAAAACCGTGGTGACTAGCAACGTGATCTCTACCAGCGAATTATTCAGATTAATCCTGCCACGTAAAACCGACGTTACTTCCCCCTTCATGCATTTCCCACCAAATCCTTTTCATATCATAAGGCCTAAATTCTGTTTATGTAATGCAATAGTTTTGCAAGTGGAGTCTGGTTTTTCCTTTATTCGAAGGCCTAGCGGACGGCAGTGTACACACTATTCACGAATACCATGCGTTCTGACTTGGAACTTCAGTCCAGTAACATGCGTTGGCTTCATTGTTCATTTGTTCTTTCCGTTTAGATTATTATTGGTAAGTTAATTTCAGACGGAATTGCACAGAAGATAATCAAACTGGGCTTGTGAGTTACATGTTTCAAGAAACATGTAAGTTTTGCAGAATGTACAGAACAACCAAATTACTATACAATGTCCACTTCATATTTGCTCTAGATATATGCTAGCTCAACGTAGACAGGCTAATGGATAATAGTAACAACGGTTAACTTCATTTTCGGACCAGGACTTCCGTCTTTGACGGGCGCCGCCCCCAAAGGCGTTAGGACCTATGAAAATGCAGAACTACAGAATGTAGTGACGTAATATCAGCGGGAGATTCGAGCATGGTGCAGAACACAAAGGGCTTCATTCTGATCGACTTTGAAATATCGCAGGAGTTGGCAAAAGACAAATAAAACTAACATGTCACTGCTGTTCCAAATGGTGATTAAAATTAGTCAATTTAGAGCGCAATTATATTCAAACTTCTTTTCACCTGGTTTTCATCAGATCTTTAAAATGCTTCTGTAACTTAAAAAAATCAACAGGTCTAAAATATATAATTGAAAAATAAAAAATTAAAATGTGGTGACAGAAAAACTGAGAGGTTCAAAGGTTGAGCAGAGGTTGTCCTAAAATAAAGGTCAGCAGTGGATCATTGAATGCTCAAGTTGATCATAAATATGTACGTGAAAATATTTAGATAACTTATTTGCAGATGCCAATTGCTTTCAGTTCAATTTCCATAAATATGTAAGTAACAGACAGGCATTTTTCAGGTGCTACCATCACAAAAAATTGAAACCAAATGGCTTTTTGCAATTAAGAATTTATTTAAAACCAGTACAGATACTTATTTCCAAAATAAAAAAAGTCTCATCATCGCTGGTGTAGCAGTGCAAAATAATTATGAATCATCTGCACAAATCTGTGCTTGAAGGAACATGTAACATGATAAAATATTCTATTCTACATATTAAAAACAAAAATCTCTGAGGAGATCAAAATTATGCCAGAGGAGGGAACTGAAAAACCTAGAACAATGTTTAATACATTTGCGAATATAAATTTTGCAAGCCTTGGGCAAAAAAAAAAAAAAAAAAAATCCCAGAAAAAGACAGTGCCTTACTCCCCCCCATTTTTAAAATACTCCACCTCTCAATGTTATTTTGATGAATGTTCTCCTGACCAAAAAAAAAAAAAAAAAACAGATATTTTGCATCATTATAAGATGAGTACCATGTGCTTTAGTAAACACAATACAGAAAAGAGGGAAACACTGGGAGAGATTTTGCACTCAAAAAAAGCAAACTCAAATTCACCTTGAATTCAGTTAGGCTTGTAGTCTCGTCATAAGACTCTCAAGCAGCAATTACATAGTAACAGGCTGCTCTTTCAGCTTAATTCCGGCACAGTGATTGTCCAAATACTGCCTAAAGTTTTTTTTTTTAATTTTTTTTTTTTTTTTTTAAATCAATCAACCACACTAATTACACAGAGAGCTTTATAAATCTAATCCTAAAATGTCTACTTCTGATTAGAAATAAAACATTATTCTCTGAATTTTAAAACAAAGGATGAAACCTTGGAGGAGAGGCCTTCCTC